CAAAAAAAAGAAAAGAAAGAAATCCCACTGGAAGTTGAGAGACCCTAGAAGAAAAGAAAAATTTTTGTATTTTATTTTGTATTTAATTTTTCCTGCTTTTTGAACAAGGGCTCCACAGTTTGTCTTGCACTCTGCTCTGCGGATGACGTAGCTGGCCTTGGTAAGGAGTGGCCCTTTTGCATTGGGACATTCACTCACGCTCCATCTTACTGCTTGGACCACTTCTGTCATTTACGTTATCTGCTCAGCTGCTTTAGGACTTGGGGCTTAGACCCTGAGACACATGGGTCACCAAAAAGAGCTAATGAAGCACGACTGTATTGGAATGGAATCTAAGAGAGATTTCCTGTGTGGCCTTTCATTTAAAAAAATGGGCTCAACAACATTCCTACTGTAAATAAGTCAGTGTTTAACGTCTTATAAAATTCTTCAATGTAGCCTGAGAGCACAGTGTCACAACACTGAGCCATACAAGTCATAATAATGTAATCCAGATAGTCTTGAGGAATCAGATTCCTCGTAAAGAGGAGCTCAGTTTTTTCCCTATTTTCAATTAGTCTTACATTTGCAGAGAGAAAGCTTGAGGTTGAACCTGTTTTCAACAAAGCCTGAATTAAGAGACTCAGAACCAGCTAAGGACCCAGTTGACTCTGGCAGGGATTCAGGGATGTTTCTAAGCCAAGTTACTCAGCATCTTTGTGCATTAGGCTCCTATAAGTTAAGGCGGGAAAGAGCTGATCAAGTCTCTCTTCATTGTGTTGTGGAGAATCTTAGGTGAAGATGATTTTAACAATATAAAAATAGGGGCACCTGGGTGGCTCAGTCGTTAAGCGTCTGCCTTTGGCTCAGGTCATGATCCCAGGGTCCTGGGATCGAGCCCTGCATCGGGCTCCCTGCTCGACAGGACGCCTGCTTCCCTCTCCCACTTCCCCTGCTTGTGTTCCCTCTCTCGCTATGTCTCTCTCTGTCAAATAAATAAATAAAATCTTAAATATATATATATATAAAAATAACAGAATATGAGACAACTAAAATTTTGTTAGAATGCTTTTCCAGGGGTGCCTGGGTGGCTCCATTGGTTACGCGTCTGCCTTCGGCTCAGGTCATGATCCTGGGGTCTTGGGATCGAGCCCCACATCGGGCTCCCTGCTCCACATGGAGTCTGCTTCTCCCTCTGCCTCCCCCTCCCCCTGCTTGTGGCTCTCTCTCTCTCTCTCTCTGTCAAATAAATAAATAAATACATTTTTTAAAGAAATGAATGCTTTTCCATTTCTGAAGAGCTTAATATTCAAGTGACTCAGAATGGCTGCATGTTCTTTTTAGAAATTAAATTAAAGGATACATTATATTAGTTACATGAAAGTAATATGGTTATTAGACTTATTATCTGCTTGTTTTAGTACTAATTTTTAAAGGTCTCTTGGTATAACTAATTTTAGATTGTTCTTTGACATACAATATCAGACTTGCGCAGAAGGGTCTTCCATGCTAAAATTTTATAGGAAGTTGCAAACCAGTAATTAGTTAGAAAAGATTATATGCTAAGGGAAATGATTCTATATGGGGTAGATTTTAAAAATAGTATCTTTTCTAAATAACACTCACCTGCCTTTTCAGAACATCTTTGATTAATATTGATCAGAGGGTATCTGGAAGTATCTGGGTTTTTGCTATCAGCATATTATAGAATCGATTTTTATTTGATGTCCTGTGATTCATAGAAATATCGTGTTTGCCCTAGTATGTGAATCCTGAATTAAGATTCTGTTTCTAGACTAGAAACTATTTTCAGTCACCTCTTGCATCAGATTATAAGATCCCCACGAGTAACCATTTCTATGTAAAAATCAGAGTCTTTATTCTTAGTAACTCTGTTCTCTGTGTATCTTCAGTGATTATTGGTCTTGGCCTTCCTGTCGAGTTAAACAACAAAAAACCATGGTGAGATGACTACCTAGGCTTATCAGAGACCTCTTTTCCCGAGACTAGGCTGTTTGTATTTCTGGTCTCCACTTACATAGAATATTTGTCACCTAAAACATTATCTTTTTCAGGGTGATCATGGCTTTAAGCAGTCCAAAGACACTGAAGAGAGGCTCAAAGTTATCCCCAAATTTTGTTTTCCCGACTCAAAGGACTGGGTGCCAACCTCAGAACTCAAGAGGTAAATAGGCTCCTTTGTCTGATTTCTATTTGTTGGAACTGCAGAAGTAGAATCAGAATGTTTGTGAAAAGGGTAGAGCCAGCAGTTAAAGTTACGTGGACACTGTGGCAGGTCAAGGATGCTGTGGGAGGAAAGGAAGAAACGGAATTAGAACATTTCCTGTGTGAGTACAAAAAAGAAAAACACGGAATAGTTTCAGTGTCAAAGGGAAAACAAATTTGAGAATCTGTAGTTTACCAGTTCTGTGGGCGGGGGAAACGTTCCATTTCACATACAATCAGAAATGCCACCAAGCGGACAGAACAAGGAAAGAAGACTTGAGCTTTGGGACTCTCCTTAGAGGGAGGTAGAACAGAGCAGTGTCTGCACCTTGTTTGTCCTTCAAGTGGACGGAAGCCCAGGTGGTACGTTCCCCTGCGGATCTTGTACAAAGGGAGGCTCCAGATTGGGAGGTGTGAGTGTACTGAGAAGGGAAGATCAAAAATTTCTTCCTGGGGGGGCGCCTGGGTGGCTCAGTTGGTTGAGCGACTGCCTTCGGCTCAGGTCATGATCCTGGAGTCCCGGGATCGAGTCCCACATC